AAAGAGAAAGAGAAAGAGAAAGAGAAAGAGAAAGAGAAAGAGAAAGAGAGAAAGGAACATCAGCTCCAATTGCAACAAAGTCGTATAATTGAATTACAGCTTTGCCGATGCACAGCTCACGAATGAAAATTGAAAATGAAATCGAACTGTGAAACGTGCGACGGCCTGAAGTGCACTTGACTTCTGTTGCTTTGGCAAAAGTCAATTGGAAATTCGTTAAATGGGAGACGCAAATTTCTAGCTGTTGATTTATTGAATAGGAAATGTGTCTCATGTTTTTTGTATAAATGACTTTAAGGCAAAGCTGATTAAAGCTTAATTGCAATAGTAAAAACTTTTAACTTAATGACGAAGACGAAAGCTCTGCATAAGTTTTGTAAGCTGATTAAAAGGAAGCAAGGAAACATAATCTATTCAGCTTTAAGATTTCAGCTGTAGCTCTGTCTAAACTTTGGGGTAAGCTTCTTCGTAAATGAAATTGAAATTGGTTTACAGTTACAGCTTATCAGCTGTATCGAAGCTGAGGCAATTCTCATTCATTTAACGTAATTGGCGTGAAGTTTTTTAAAGCTGCAAGCTCATTATATTTTCAAAGACTTGAGCTTACTTCGAGCTCTGTTAAGCCTAAGCTGTTTGAAGCTCGCATAGGATCAGACAGTGTGGCATGTGTAAAGCTCACTTAAAGCGCATCCAAGCTCACTCGAAGCTTTTGAGAAATCTAGCGCTTGGCATACTACCAAAAAGCTCATTCGATACTCGATTGCAAGTCACTTAAAGCTCTACGAGCCTGACAGAAACATAATTTAAGCTGCCCTGAAGCTTACTTAAAGCTAGTTTGAAGCTGCCTCAATATGTCTGAAAGCTCACTCCAAGCTAAATGCAGAATCAGCATAACTAGTTGTGGTACGCACCTGTTGTCCTCCGGAAAGATGTACATGGAGTAGGACTCGCGCTCGGCGGTAAAGTGCTTCGGCGTCAGACGCTGTATGACCATCTTGAGCTTCGAGACGTGCTCCCCGCTAGAGCCGCACGGCACCATGGAATGTCGTTGCATGGACAGCAGCTGCAGCTCCTTGGCCAGCTGCTGCGGCGGCAGCTGCGATTCCAGTTGCTGTGGATGCTGCTGCTGCTGTTGCTGCTGTTGCTGCTGTTGCTGTTGCTGCTGTTGCAGTTGCTGCTGGTGCAGCTGCTGTAGCTGTTGCAGCTCCTTCTCCTCGAGTCGCTTCTTCAGATTGTAGTGGCTGATGGAGTTCTTGCGCTTGTCGCGCGCCTCCATGTACTGTTGCAGCATGTCCGGCTCGTTGAGGGTCATGTAGGACTTTTGCCATTTGTCCAGGTCGATCTTCGAGTTGGTGTAGGACAGCGACTTGCGGTTCGCCTCCAGATTGTGCAGATTCAGGTGCGACGTCTTGCTGAAGGCCAGCTCAATGGAGCTCATGCGCCGCTGGCCCGCGCCCGCCCTCAGCTTCGGCGGCTGGTTGAGGTTCTGATAGACCTGCGAGTTGAAGATGCACGCCGAGGCGCGTCGGCTGCCCGGGCCGCTGCCAATGCTCAGCGTGTTGGAGAGCCGCCGGATCGAGTTCTGTGGACTCAGCCGGTTCGTGTCCTTGGCCCCTGGGCCGCCGCCTGCCATGCCCATTGACGGCACCGGGCTGCTGCGCAGCAGGTAGCTGTTGTCGCCGCTGCCGTTGTTCAGCTGGGGCTCCTCCTCGTCGACCGGGTGCTGCTCGTCGGGGCGCTGTGGGTGTGGGCTGGGCCGCTTCTTGGAGCTGGAGCGACGGAAGCGCTGCTTGAAGCTGCTCGGCGGTGCCAGCGGCAGCCGTTCGCTGGAGGAGCTGGTCGAGCCGATGCTGCCGCCGGCGCCGCCCACAGCTGAGCTGAGCGACAATTCGGACAGATTGAGGCTGTGGCTGTGGCTCTCGGTCGGCGGCTGCAGTGTCGATGCCACCGACGATATGGTGGGCACATAGATGGGCGTGGCCGCGGCACTCGTGCTGGAATTCTTCGAGATGTCGTCGATGATGACGCTGTGCATGCTGCTGGCCAGGGCGCTGGGCAGCAGGCTGCTCAGCTGATTGCTGCTGCCGCTGGACAGGCTGGAGCTGCCAGCCGCAGCGCCACTGAGCCCAGACGCAGCAAGGCCAACGCCACCACCGCTCCCTCCACCACCACCACCACCACCACCACCAGCACCACCAATGCCCGCGCCCACTCCTGCTGCACCCAGGCCGCCCACAGTGCCCGCATGCCCCTGCAGCTGGCTGGCATTCAGTATGTTGAGCGGCTTGTGCGCCAGCACCGGCGATGGCGGTATGAGATCTATGGCCGGGATGCCCTCGTCCAGAACCCGCTGCCCGCCGCTGAAAATGTTCGGTGGCTTCAGCAGCGACGGCGACGGCGGCACGGGCTGCGGCACAGACAAAAGAGATCAGTCAATATGAAGGCGAAGCACTCGAAATGAATTTCACTTTTATATATATATATAGAAAATCCCATTAGCTGTATTAATCTGAGATCTATCTATACCCCAAAATTGATGTGACTGATCGCGTATTGGTCGTATATAAGAGTTACGAGCCGATTTAGTATAGGTATTCAAAGAAGAAAACTTTGTAGGCTTGTAATTGATCTTAACTTAACTTATATGTTCGAATAACCAAGTCCCAATGTTGGGAAACCGAAAAAGGAAATATCTCTTATCTGCGTGTAGTTCACACGAATCTATATACCAAATTTGATATCTCTATCTCATGTAGAAGTCGAGGTATGCTTGAAAAGCCCTCAAGGCCCTATAGTTAATAGCGTAATATATGTATATGTATGTAGCTCTCTCTTGGCTTGGTGTCACTCACCTCCATGTCGCCCCATTGGCGAAAACTCATGCCCGGCTCCATTGTGGTGCTTGGCGAATCTTGGGGCGTGGCCGCTGTGGTTGTGATGAGCGGTGGATCGCGTATGAGACGCATTTTCGATATGCGTGGCGCCTCGTTGCGTCGCTCCTTGATCGAGTATGTCTGTCGTACAAGTGGAGGGCGTTTGGATTGGGGTTTGACTTGATGTTCTTGTTGTTGTTGTTCTTCTTCTTCTTCTTCTTTTGACTAAAAGTCGAGCGAGTCACTTACCTTTTTGAGGCCGCCGCGCGGCTTGGCTTCGCCCTCCTTGTCGCCGGCATTGCCCAGCGAGGCAGAGCTGGCGCCTTGGGCGGGCAGCTCGTTGATCTGATAGTCCTGGATGGGCTGCAGCAGACGCTGGCGATGAATGTTGTTCTTGGCTTCGATGTTCAGCTCGGCTGACTCCTGCAGCTGCTAAAGTGGCGATAGACGATAAACGATGAGCGATAACAATCGGCCATGAGTGCGGATAGTTCAACAATAGACTACGGATACATACCGTGATGGACTCTTAACGGCACACGCACTCACTCACATTCACATTCACATTCACTCACACGCACTCACACTGACATGCATGCTATCTCAGTCACTCGTACAGTCAGTGCGTGCCACAGAGTCGAGCTTTAGCATTCGCTCTCTCGCTCTCTTTTCGAATCGTTTCTCTTTTGCACTTACCTTGCGCACATCCTCGGCACTGCGCCAGCGATTGCGTACCTCGTAGTAACTATCGTTTGTGGTCGATGAATCCGCTTCGCTGCGTGATTCATCGTACATACCATCGCTATAATTTTCGGCCAATGTCTCTTCACGCAGTTTCTTAACCAATTCACGTTGTTCGCGTTCGCGACGTTCATTTCGCTGAGGGAATCAAAATTTCAAAATTAGACTTTTTCGTCAACGTTATCGTTATCGTTATCGTTATCGTTGCTGTCTATCGTTTTGCAAACTATCATGTTCGCTTCAAGACATTGTCTCAATTATATAGTCGATCAAACTTCTTGAACTTTTGATTTATCGATAACATATCGAAACTTATGGAATGGTAAATTTAAGAGCAATAATTGAAACATTGTTTTGTTAGCTTCGTTGTTAATCGATTATCGATCGCTTATCGATATAAATTTAGGTGCATTTTTTTCAGAAGAGGAATAGAAAAACATAAAAGACAGCAAGAATTGAAAGGTGGTTAAGTTACTTGAAATCGATAATTTATCGATAAGTTGGAGAATTGAAACTTACTTGAGAGCGTAAGTGAGAAAGCAAGTTTTAGTATAAAAATCATAATATAGTAGATTTGATCAATTTTAGAGACCAATCGAAGAGTTTATCGATAAGCTTGACCTGGCTATCGTTTCGACTAAAGGTCATTTAGTGAATGAAGCTAGTGAAACGATGACCAATGTGGCCACAGAAAAGGAAAGTCAATTGAATTTAGATATATGTATATTGAGAAGAATTTGAATAGAAGTTTTCAGTATTTTTGTTAGTATTTTTTTTGTTTTTTTTTCATAATTAGTTGATGTTGGCAAAACTCTACCTCTGAACTGAATCCCTCAACCAAAATGGCGACCAATAAATTAAACAGCACGTAATTGCCAAAAGTCATTAGAGCCACAAAATACAATGCGGCCCAATGACTTGTCTTTTCCATGCCATTGAATAGGACAACGTTCCAATCCTCTTGCGTTAGTATCTAGAAACATTTTTGTTGTTTTTGTTTTTGTTGTTTGGTATTTTTTTTTTTGGTTTTTTAATATATTTTTTTGTTGGTTGCAGTTGTAGGTGGATTGCGGGCGGCAAAACGTGGTGCAGTTAACGTTTATATACGATATACGATATATATACGATATATATTTGTTATCGAAAGAAGCATAAAAAAGAGAACGGAACTTCCATAAACATGTGTGTGTATGTGTGTGTTTGTGTGTGAAGAAAAAAGAGAGCATAAAAGAAAATACATCATGTTGGAGAAGCGAAAAAAAGACGCCAAAAAACGTGTTAGATATATCGGCTTCTTCTTAGTTTCTTTTATGTTATCTATTATTATTAGAGATATTATAGAATTCAATATATGTTAAGGTAATACGTAGGGTAGATTATGTATATATATATATTAATTGTAAACATAACTGAAACTGTCTATCTGCTTGGATTTTGGTATTTTTTTAGTACTTTGAACACAGAATAATATTAGAACTCTTTCGGTAAGTTTTCTTGCTTGCAAAAGAAAATTATAAAAAAATAAATAAATTGTTGCCAATATAGAGTTTTTTTTTATAGAATTTGAACATTTGCAAACTTTGTTCTATTGGCCCTTCACAACTTTTATTTTGGTATTTCTTAGAGCTCTGACATATTGAATGACAAAAGATTACATTTAACATGGAGTATGAAACACAAAAGTTGGCCAAGGCGCAGTTAAAGCAGTTGGCAACTGAAAGCACAATCACAAAACGAAACGAAAACGAAAACGAAACATGAAACGAACTTAGGATCTTAAGATTAAAGACACGCACTGTACGTAAGCAACCGAAAAGTTAAGTTGAATTGAACGAACGAATCTAAAGTACATGGTATTATACTCGTAATTCGTGGTGTGGTTAAAAAACGCAAAGCACTCGATTAAAAACACGTTTTCAACTCAAAATACAAACTCCAATTCCATAGAAATTACTGAATAATTAGAATTAGTGAACTAAACAATGAAAATTCCTTTAAAGAGCTGCAAAAGCGCGCAAAAAATATCTTGCATATAGAAATTCAAATTCTTGTTAAATGCTAAAAGTGGTATTTTTTTCTGATTTTGTTGTTTGGTATATATATATACTATTTATGGTTGATGTTTTTCTTTATAAATATATTTTTTTTGTATTTTTTACACGACGTGCCAATAAATAGTTGATGCTATATGAGATTTCATATACAAATCGAGTATATATATATATTTGATTTATTTTGATATTTTTTATTATATATATATATGTATGTTTTTTTTTTTTTTTGGTCGTGACTGTACATGAATACATGATTCTTGTTCTACATATATATGTACGTTTAGAGTATTTTTTTTTCTTTTTTTTTTGTATTTTAAGAAAAGCGCAAACAGCAGCAAAAAGCAATCGAGAACCGTGAGCTAGGCATAAACGCAAAATGATAGAACGAAATCGCAAAACTTGGGCAAAAATAACACGAAGAAGAATAACAAAGCATCAGCTGTTGAAGACGTGGCGTGGCATAGGGGCGGGGCTACAAGCCAAAACGAAACGGGTTGCTTGAGAAAGCTATAGATATATGTATATAGATATTTACATATCTACATATATACTCCATATAGAGCATAAGGATCAAAATTAAAAGTCAAATCAGAATTAACTAAAAACTGAGAAGAGAAATCATGCAAGAAAGTAGAAATGAAACTTTAGTCTATAATACAGATGAGCGTCTGTGTGAGTGACTGAGAGAGAGAGAGAGAGAGAAGAGCAAGGGGAGAAAAAGAGAAAGAGGTTTATAGAAAAAACGCGAGCGGAAAGAAAACGAGACAAAAATAGTCAAAGAAAATTTGTTTTTGTGTGTGAGGGAGAGAGAGAGAGAGAGAGAGAGAGAGAGCTAGAGCTGGCTAGCTAGACAGGGAGCAACAGAGAGAGTGAGCGGGAGAGCTAGTTCAACAAGCGAACATTATAGGTGTTGCTCTCAGCTCTCAAGCCGAATGGCATATATTAATAGTTCATTAGTTCATGTTATGAACCACTAGTTCCTTAAACCTAATTTCTCATTTAATCAGAGAGTAGCAGAAAAGTTAGGTTTCAGTCCAATAGACATTTTGACTGAAATCGAATTCAATTTCCTATTATGAACTAGCTAAATTTATATCCGTTCACAAGTGAACGAACTGGTTCATTGTTAGGGTGTTGAAATTTGACTTTCAACTGCATGCTGCTTACAAATAATTTGATGTTCCAATAATGAACCAGTTAGATTCACAATTTTTGAGGAAATGAACTAGTTCTGCAACAAAGAGTGATTCACTATTTGCATTGTGAAGATTTGTGCGTGCAAAGTTCACAATTGTTAAGAAAATGAACTAGTTCTTAACGAATATTCTCTCATTTTCATCATATTTGAAACCAGAGGGACAGTCCGAAGGCCAGATATGTATGTGAGGTGTGGGTATATGCGTGAGTGTGTGAGGGTATGTACGTATATGTGTGTGAATTTGTGAGTGTGTGTGTGTAAAGTTAACTAAGAACTACATATCGATTGAACAAGTATTTGAAGACTATGTAAAAAGTTATGAGGAAAACTAAAAGAAGAAACTCAACCGAACCGAATAAAATTTTTAGAGCCAACCAACTAAAGCTAGAAAAACGAGTAAGTTTTGTCTTCTTCTTGATATATTAATATATATAGAGAGATATAGGTATAGAGAGATATAGGTATAACTAAACTATAACTAAAAAAAATCAGTTAACAGAAGAAAACTAGATATATTGTAGATAGAGCTGTATGTTTTGCCATAAGATTTATATATATATATATAGGGTAATATTATTTTCTTTTTGTCTGTTTTGTATATATTCGATAAATAGCTGGGAATGTATATATATATTTATAGATATACATATATATGTATATATACATATATACATACATATATACGTATATATGTATATTGGGTATATCTCTTAATGGATGTTGTTTGGGTTTTGTTGATTGTTGGTTGCTCTTACTTGAAATACTGTGACAGTGGCCCACAAAATGTTGTTGAAGTGTTTACGATCGCATTCACATTGCGGATGTCGGCTGATTATTTCGGGACACGTGCATTCGCGTTCGAGTCCGGATTCATCCAAAAATTTACAAAACTTACCGCCAAACAGATACATGCCGAGTATGCTGTAGGTTTATACGTATATATGTTTTATATATCATATATATCAGTTGTTTAGAGAGAGAGAGAGAGAGGTTTTCTTTTCTTTTCTTTTCTTTTTTTTTTTGTGTGTATGTTGAGCTAATATATATATACACATATACATATATATAGATACTTGTATAGTTGTGAATCGATTATGATTATATGTATATATATATGTATATATATTATGTAGGTATATATGTATATATGATTAGATTAAGTAGAGCTGGAAGCTCAGATCGTATGTATATGAATATATATATATATATTGTAGGTTTTTTTTTTCATATTTAAAAAATATAATTTATATTAATTAAATGTTGTTGTAATGGTTGTTGTTGTTGTTGTTGTTGGTGACTTCAAGCTTATAAGAAACTTGGAGCTAAGTGGGATTTCTCTTTGGAATAGAACTGATTGTATAACTGTTTTATTCTGTACAGAGTGGATAGAAAACTGTGAGTTTCGTGTTCTATTTTATTTGATTAATATTTGATGAAGCAAAAAGTTGAGCAAAGAAAAAAACTGTTTTATTTTACAGAGTTTTTTTTTTTTTGTATATATATATTGTTTTTTTTTTTTAGTAATTTCTGTAAACCTCATAAACTCTAGAGACTGTACTAGGTATGTATTATATATATGTGTGTATGTGTATGTGTATGTATGTATGTATATGTATATGTCTATGTGATATGTATAGTTTTCATTTAAGAGGAATATAGATTACAGTTCAGAGTTGATAGTGCTTCGGTATAGGTGTATGTGTGTGTGTGTGTGTGTGTCTAGGTTAAGTAGACGAAGGGAGTATACAAATTCTAAACAACTTAGAGTCTAGAGTATATATAGCAATAGATATGTACCATAGATGCATACATAGATAGTAATAAACACTTAGACAAGGGAGAGAGAGAGAGAGAGAGAAAAAACACAGAGAGAGAGAGAGAAAGAGAATAAAAACATGTGTGAATGTGTGTAGGTGTGTGTGTGAGAGTGCGAGTGTGTGCGCGTGTATGTGTATGTGTGATAAGAGGTAAAGGACATGTGAGAACAAATCGAAAGAGTAAGAGGAGTAAGAAGTCGAGCGAGTAACGTGTGTGAGTGTGTATAGACAGCAGTAGGTGTGATCGATAACACACTTATCAATAAAGCAAGCCAAAGTAAGTAAATGCAAAGACAGATATACTTGGATAAATATATATATTATAGGTATGGAAAACGATATAGATATGGATATATATATATTTATATAAAAGGGCAGGCGATTCTACACAACTGGTATGCTTACCTGTGCAGCTTATCAATCTATATCTGCCTTATGAACTAAGCTAGATTTACAATCGATAACTGATCGTTACGATAAATATGTGAAAGCTTTATGTACATAAATAGATCAAAATAAATATGGCATGCGTATGCGCGTAGCTCGTTAAATAACTTGGCATGCCACATCCACTAGGCTCGACGTGCAGGCACGAAACGAAATGGAATGGAACACAATGGAAATAAAGACCACACCAAACGGACTACACACCACAAATCAGTGCGAAATCTAAAGAAAACCAAAAACAAAGCAAACAAAAGCACAAAGTGAATTAAATCAAACGAAAGCTCCAATACAAATTGCAGGCGTTTCTCATGGGCCAAACTGAAATCGAAACACACACAAAACTGAATACACAGACAGACAGAGTGACAAAGAGTGAGAGAGAGAGGGAGAGGGTGAGGGTGAGGGAGAGATAGGGAGAGACAGAGCAATCGTTTTGTACGAACGCAAAAGATAGCACAACAATTATAATCGATATGATTGTTATCGTTATTGTTATCGGTTATCGGCAAGACCTAGCACAAACGAATTAAAAAAATGAACAATTCAACAAAAGCCTAAAAAAAAACGTTAAACAAACAAAACAAAATGCTTACATTTTGGTATTATTTTTGGTATTTTTTGGTTGGTATTTAATAAACAGAAAAAACTGGTATTGTTTTCATTGAAACATTTAAGTGTTAGATAGATTACGATTATGGCATAAAATTAGGTGGTAAACACACACACGTATATATATATATTTATTTATTATATATTATATGTATAGTCTTTGGTATAGCAGTGGTATATTTATTTGGAATTTATAAATATATATATATATATATATGTATATATATGTTAAGTTAAAATTATGCTGATAGCAAATGGGGTCTACCTGAAACACTGTGACGAGTGCCCATAGCAGGCTGTCGAAATTCTTACGATCGCAAATCTTCTCTCCATTAATTTTCTCGCAGAATTTACATCCGAACAGATTCATGCCGAGTATACTAAATTGATGTATTTTTTTTTTGTTGTTGTATTTTTTCGATATATATATGATATACATTTATATTTCGATAATATATATATATTTGGTAATATTCTTGTAAAGTATTTTTATTTTTATTAATTATTGTTATTATTAATGTTGTTAAATATTTTTGTGGGGTTTTTTTGTAGTGTTTTTTTTTAGATTTTAGTTTAAGTTTTTTTTTTATTGTTAATATATTTTTAGTTTTAAAAGTAATTTTTAGTATTAAGATATTTAAGAGTAGAGCAATTGTGTGTGTGAGAGAAAGAGAAATAGAGAGAGAGAGAGAGAGAGAGAGAAAGAGATAGTTAAGAAAGAAAGAGAGAGAGAATGTGACTGTAAGTGAGCAGCAAGCGAGCGTTAATTGGAAACACAAAAGAAATTTCACTTTTCATAATCTGCAAATGCAAAAAAATAGCTTTTGAATTCCAGCTTTCACGCAGATGGGCGAGCTTTCAAAGCTGACGAATCGGAATCGGACAAACGGAACGAAAGTAAAAGTTACTGGAAAATGGAGCGTTGGATAATATTGTTGAATTATTCAAGTCGTATTATTAGTATTCTTCTAATGCTACTTTTAATATCTTTTTTTTTTTAAGACTTAGAGAAGAGAGACAGAGAGAGATAGAGCCAGAGAGAGTGAGAGAGAGGGATAGAGAGTGTGTATGTGGGGCATCTGAGTCATCAGGGGGACACATTCTAAGTTTTCTTTCATTGCAGAGTAGCTGTGATCTATGTCGTTGGTGTTACATGTGTCAGTATGTGACTGTAGTATTTTTTTTTTAGATAATTTTAAGATAGTTATTGTATTTTTATTTTTTGGTTTCTAACTACGCAAACGTTTACGACTTTTAGTTCAAGAACAGAGCAACTAAGCTAACTAAACTTTGGTTTAGAATAAAAATGTAGTTGGTATATTTTTGTGGTATTTTGCGCATATATTGTCGGTATTTTTAGTATTTATTTGGTATTTTACGATTTAAATTTAAGTAAAATTAAGAGTTTTAAAAATGTAAATGTCAATAGTATATAATATATAGGAAAAGAGAGCATGTAGTAGTACAAGTATTTGAGAATCGAGAGAGAGATATTTATGAAGAAATATGAAGTAGATATATACACATATGTATATAATTCATATATATGTGTACATGAGATAGATAGAGTTTGTATACTGCAAAACTACACAATAAGCGTACGACTCGATAGTTACTGTTTAACGTTTAGTATTATTAAAAATACTATTACTTTATTTGTGTTTTTTTTACTAATTGTTGTTGTTTCCAATCGTGTGGTATTAATAAAATGAAAAGTGTTTTGTAATTTGGAGCCTTGTGTTTGTTGGTTTGCTTGGTTTTTATTCAAGTTCAGTGTTGGTAAATGCCAAATAAGCTAGGACACACATTTAGTTAAGCCTTGGAACTAACTAATTGTTGTACGTGTTGTTGCTGTTGTTGGTGTCTAAAAGAGTTTTCTGGGTAGCGAGAAGCGAGTGAGAAGTTAACACAAACAGAAAAATAAAACAGGTTAAGTAAATATTCGAGCTTCTTGGAGAGCACGCAAAATGGGAGGGGGCGAGTGACGAGTAAAGAGAGTAGCGAGAGTGGCAAGAGACGTGTGACGAGTAAACAAAAGAGAGAGAGAAGAGTTGAACGAATTGAAAAAGTAACGAGAGGAAAGAGTGAGTGAGTCAGACAGAGTGAGCTAGAGAGTCTGCGAGCGAGCGAACGAGAGACAGAGAGAGAGAGAGAGAGAGAACTAGTCTTGTTGGTGCTCACAAATCGTTGACAAGTTTGTAATAAAACAGAGGGAGAGAGAGTGTGGGAGAGAGACAGACAAAAATCACTCGCATACATTAATTTTGATCTGATTTTTCTCAGTGTATTATTTTGTTTTGTTCATACTTGGAATACAACGTGTGCGATGCGTGTGTAGGGCAACTAGCGCAGCAACGAATTGTGTTTGATAAAGAGACCAAGAGATACAGAGCGAGTATGTATGTGTTCGTATGTGTGTGAGAGAGACAGAAACAGAGCGTGAGTGAGAGAGTTTGAAAGCAGAGACTGAAATTGTCGATCGATTTGAAGTTGAATTTAGATTGGATTGTAAAACTCTAACTACGAATCGAGATAACGAATACACGTAATTCAGACAGGGAGAGAAAGAGAGAGGAGAGAGAGAGAGAGCTAGAGTAACTGCATGTGTATGTGTTTAGGTGATAGATAAGGAGATATATATAGAAAGAGATAGTCTAACTCAATCGTTTACTCAAATGGTACGCATAAAAACGAGTATAGTTATTACCAGGACTAAAAATTGAAATACTTTTGTTTCTATATATGTTTTAAGTTTTTCAAAAGGGTGTTTGGTACGTTTATTGGGGGTGAGTGTTACGAGTTCAATGATGCAGAGAGCGAAGATAGAGATATGTGATATGGATGAAATAGAGAGAGAGAGAGAAGAGCAAAGTGACATATGATGTGTATGTACATGATTATAGAATGAACGAGAGACAAATCAGAAGATATATGGAAAAAGAAAAAGAGATGTAGAAGTAGAAGTAGGAGCAGCAGAGAGAAAGAGGTGTGATGTGAATGAATGAAAGAGAGAGAGAGACTGAGACTGTCAATATGTAAGTGAGAAGAGGATGAGCGACAGAAACTGAGAGAGAGTGAGTGTGACCTTGATAGAGTCAGAGAAAGCGCATATGCATGTAGCTGAGCAAAAAGATGATGAGAGAGCAAGAGAGCGAGAAAACGGAAAGCGAGCTCGCATATGCATATATGTGATTGTGCAGAGCGAGAGGCACCGAGCGAGAAACGATTTGAATTGGTGTTTTTTTGCATCTGATGAGATAGAAATAGCTTGTAAGAAAGAGAGAGAAAATTAGAGAGAGAGAGAACGAAAGAGAGAGAGAGAGAGAGAGAGAGAGAGCAATAGACCATTCGCATAAACATACAAGTGACTATATACATGTATATACTAGACTAGGTATACATAGATATAGACACATCTATGTTCCGCTATGCCTATGCTCCCTTTCTCTCTCTCTCTCTCGCTCTCTGTGTATGTGAACGATCTGTTCTATAGATGATGTTGTGAATGTCAAGTGTATGCGTGTGTGTGTATGTGTGTGTGTTAATAACTATTTCTCTTAGATCACTATTAGTAGTCGTCGTTGTTGTTGTTGTTGTAGTAACTGAGGGGCTAATTAGAAGCTAGCAGATTGAATAATCAGATTAGTATTACGCAACTCTATGCCGTATAATATAGACCAGACGATTACTAAACATCATCTTTGGCATATTAACGAAGCTCTAAGAGCCATGAACTAACGACAAGAAAAAAAAAAATAATAACACACTCAACTGTTTAGTGGGTCACTGATGCGGCGGGTCAGTGGTTTAGTGGTTTAGTGGGTCATTTTTGGATTAATTGGATGCGCATCAGCATTACGATATACATTACTGTACATATCCATATATACGCAGGTATGTATGTATGTATGTGTGTATGTATGTATGTCTGTGTGTGTGTGAGTCTTAAGTGGAAATTGAGCTCAGCTCAGCGCGAACTTCATGAAATCGTTGGCAAAGAGTGGGACGTATCCATGATGATTATCTGAAATTCCCGATTTGATTCGAGCAGCTAATTTAGATATGACTGAACTTTATTTTGATTAATGCCTTGCATTGAATATTTAAAGTTCTCTTTGGCTTAAAGTTTTGACTAATAAACGAGTTGGTTCATAGGTCTAGAGCTCATATTGCTCTCAATGGATTCCTACGAATACCAAATATATGTATCTGTAGCATATAGCTGCCTTTTGAACTCATATTCGTTAATCTAATACTCGAAGGTTTGCTTCAACCTAAGATCTAATGACTAAGAACTCTATCCAAAAATACTCTAAAGAACTCTAAACTAAGAGATTCTATAATACTCGTGCTTTAGGTTTAAAATAGTGTTTTATCTCTAGAGAACTGATTGAAGTCATATTCGAGTTATGTTTAAGTCAAATATTTTCTTGGTATCTCCCAACAGATCTACAATGGGAGATTAGAGTCAACTATCTAATTAGCTCACAATATTGGCGTGGCAAATCCACTTGACATTATTAGATCAGAGCTAGTTCTCAAACTCAAAATTTACAAACATATTCATACACGATGATATATTAGCTTTGAGGCCAACTCTGAGTTCTTTCGGTTTTCCTTCTCTTGCCAACACTTTTCAGGAGTTTTCTGTTTTCTGTTTGTGGTATTTTCCTCCCTTTATATAGATGTGATATCTTTCGCATTTTACTGTTTAGTTTCTGTTGTGGTCAAGTGTTTATGCGGTGTTAGACGTGTGCCACACAGACGCCTGCCCCATCGGCAATTGCTGTTAGTACACATGCAAATATTCCTGTGTGTGTGTGTGTGAGTGTGTCTCGGTGTCTGTGTGTGTGTTGGCTACAGTAGAACTCACCTGAATATGAATATAAAGAGTACGAGCAGTGAGAAGAAGACAGCAACGTTGTCCATGGTGCGCAGCATGACAAACAGTTGACGTCGCAGATTGGGCATGAAGCGCACGAGCTTCAGGATGCGCAGCAGACGGAAGGTCCGAAGGACGGACAGACCGGAGCCGCCGCCGCCAGTGCCGTTGCCCGCAAACGTCTGGCATATCTCAATGGCGCTAAGGGCGGGGGAGGGCGAGAGTAGGTTAGCTGGACGCACTGACAGCCATTGTGAATGCGCTCACCTGAGTATGACGATGATGCCGTCGAAGACATTGAAGCCGTTGGCTATGTAGCGAAAGGGTCCCTCGGCAATTACCTTGAGCAGCATCTCGACGGCAAAGATGCCGGAGAAGACGACGTTGCTCGTCTCAACAATGGCCGTCAGCTCCTCGGGCTGGTTGTGGTACTCGATGCCCATCGAGAGCGTATTGATCAATATGGCCAAGAGGATGCCCTGCTGGAAGTACTTGTGCTCGACCAGCCGCTTGATGTAGCGCCGTATCCAGCTGCAGACCCGCATCAGGCACCGGTAGACGGAGATCAGCAGGCGCAGGGCTGGCGAGCGGGGACGCTGGCGCTCGTCGAGGGGCGACAGGGCGTTCTGGTACAGATCGTAGCAGCAGGCATAGTCCTCCATGTAGTTGCCGGTGGGGGCGTGGCTGCGCTGTCCATGGTGACGCTGTCCGCCGCCCGTGTTGCGGCTGTGATTGCTTTTGCTGTTGTTGTTGTTGTTGTTATTATTATTATTGTTATTGTTGTTGTTGTTGTTGTTGTGGGGCAAATGCGGGCGCTCCTTGCGCCGATTCTCCATGGGCACAGCCGCCGAGACAGCGGCCAGCTCCAGGCTCAGTCCCGGTGCCGGCACATCCGCACTCGAGTCGAGTATATCAGCGGCAGCAGCAACTGTTGCCGGTGCTGCTGCTGCTGTTGCCGTTGCCGGTGCTGTTGTTGCTGTTGTTGCTGTTGTTGCTGCTGTTGTTGCAGCTGCTGTTGCTGCTGTCAGACGCTTCTGCTGCTGCACCTTGTTCAGGGCCTCGACTGTGTGCGGATCGCAGCGCGCCAGCGACGAGTAGAACGATTCGAGCGTGCTCTGACCCGTCGGCAGCGCCGCTGAAAATGCCACAGAGAATGCCAAAAGCTCTTGACAAGTCATCGCATCGTGTATGCCCAGCTCGGAGCACTCGGCGTACGGATTGGCGATGGTGCCGATGCTCTGCGGTAGATTCACCTGCCATCAATATTGAACAATGTGAGTCGATTGTCTGCTGGCTGTCACGCCCCCTCCTCCCCCAGCACTCACCTGCCAAATGCTGCCGTCTCCTGCCTGGGTCATCTTCTCCATGGAGTGGATGTTGCCGCCGCTGCTGCTGCCAATGCTAGTTGTTGCTGTGGCCATTGCTGCTGCAGCTGTTGTTGTTGCCGCTGCTGCTGCTGCTGCTGCTGTTGCAGTGGTTGCTATAGCTGTTGCTGCTGTTGTTGTGGCAGCGGCAGCAGCTGCTGCTGCTGCTGTTGGCTCATTGCTCAACGCTGGCGGAGTGTGCAGCAGCACGTACTCATTGAACATCACCGAGGGACGGCGGCTGGCCGAGGTGGGCGGACTGAGGAAGCCCGAGGTGCATGGATGGCTCTATAGACAGAGATGGAGAGAGGAAGGCAAACAAACAGAGAGAGGGAGAGAGCGAGAGAGTGGGAAATTGAAGTGGGGTATATGGGTAGAATAATAAATATGCATTAGATCGTGCAACATTAGTTGATAAACATTTCAAAATAGTTTAAAACTTTCATTTAGAATTGCGACTTAAACGGTTTTTTTAGGGTTCGATTATGTACAGTGGGCCCTGGGCAGGAAGCGCTAATGGAAACCTCTAGAGACCAAGTAAACAAATAGGTAAGCCTTTTTGTTGGGCATGCTCGCCCGGGAGATACCTTAGCTTTAAATGTTAAATTGTTATCGATAAATATTCAGCATTTATCGCTAAGCTAAACTGGCTAGAATTATCAGTGAGCTACTATAATAAAGCTGAATGAAAGCTTATAAGAACCAAATGCAAATCTTGAGCACTTGAGTTGTTATATGATATGACTTTCTCTGAGGAATTCGAGGGCCGTTGATTAACTTGATAAGCTCAATATACGTATAAGCGAAACTTTAATTAAGTATTGTTTTTTATCAGTACCGCGAAGCTTCTCGCTTGACATTGATACGCTAAGCCCATGATGTCAGCGCTAAAATAGAATTACAAAAATCTAATCCTGGAATAATTACATCTAATATTCATAAAGCACAAATCTATATCCCTCAAAATGCCAGCACTTCTTCCATGAGGGAATCGCCGAGGCGGATGAATCTCAATTGCTGTTTAAATATGTAATGAAATGCAGCAAATATTTGAATAATTAATTGGCATTTCAACAATAGGTCTAATGGAACAATGGGTCAATGGGTCACCAGGGCCGCTGGGGCTGTGGACGTAGGTTCTTTTGTACACTGCATTCACATTTAATGGGTATCAATTTCCCTTTCGCTTCGAGCATTTATTATATCTCTTATTTAATTGCAGTCTCGTCAAGGATTTTTACTTTATGCCCTTGCAGAAATATGGAATTTTCATTAGAATATTTCCCTCCATATTCCAAATTATATTCTAATGTCATCAAATCCCAATACCATAATATTATGATATTGTATCACTCGATTTTAATACTTTATTGCTAAATATATTTCGATCGCTGGGAAAAATATTCTGCTTTAAATTGATCTACTTAACCAAACAAAATTCACAATAAATCCATATCCTCTCGATATGTTCGATTTCATATTTCTGCTCGGGTTGCCTCGGTTAGCCGGGGCTCAAATTAGTTTTAGCTTGTTTGTTATATATACATGTGATTTTTTAAAGAGGTTTCTTAAAAATTGTAGTTGTGATAGATTGCAATACCTTGCCTAAATTTCCCAACTGCAGCTACAAGTTGTGCAACGTTCGTGGCAAATATGAAAGATCATTATTAGCGGTATTACATAGGTAAGTTAGTGGATGGTCAAGAGTATTATTGGAATTGGTAATTGTTTCTTAGTTGTTGAGTCTGTTTGTGGAGTTTTCAAGCGAAGTCTGGAGCTGCGTTATATCGAATATCGTATGTGGTATATCGTATGTAGTATAACTCGTATAGCCTGCAGTTACACGATATGCTGGGATGTCATGCCAATGATATGTATATCGAATATCGTATGACAGCTAAGTAGCGTATAGCGTAAGCTCGTTCACGATATGACAAACACGAATATCGTATGTGGTATATCGTATAGCCACAAGTTTGACTCTATGCATAGTCTGGGATGTCGTGTCTATGATATGTATATCGAATATCGTATAACAGTTAAGTACACACACGAATATCGTATGTAGTATATCGTATAGCCTGAGATTATATGTGTATCGAATATCGTATAACAGTTAATTAGGTTATACGCTCGTTCACGATACGACACACGAATATCGTATGTTGTATATCGTATGTAGAAGAGCTCGTATATCCTGCAGTTTGACGCTATGCATAGTCTGAGATGTCATGCATGATATGTATATTGAATATCGTATGAGAGCCAAGTAGCATATGTAATATCGTTCACGATATGACCAATTTGGATTGTATCATAATTGTATATCCTTGCTGGTTGTAAAATAAATCTATGTAGTGCGTACAAAGTGAGTTCTGAATACCGTAATTCGTATATCCAGCCAATATATCGCATACGATATATCGATGTTATAATGTAGATTGTTGAGTTACAGCACGTACATAGTATTTATTGAGAGTATGTCGTACCGTATCTGTTATATCGTAAGTGACTTGTATTCTATGCCATATCGTATTTTGTCAAATATAGTATATCATTTGCAATAGATCCCATTGCATATCGTATTTAGTAGTATCGTATATGGTCGTTGCGTTTCAATAACATATCGACTCTATGTGGCCTACAATTTGGACAAGTGCATATCGTATATCTTTGGAGAGTTTTTGGATGGGTATACTGTTGCTTTTTGTCAGCCTCTTCGTCTGGTCGGGCGATACTTACGATCAGTTGGTCCGAGTCCATGACCTGCTGTGGCAGCTTGAGCAGAATCGTCTTCTGCTCGCCGCCAGCTGCCTCCGGTTTCAGCTGCAGGCCGTGGCCGTGGCCATGCTGGGCGGTGGGCTTCTTCATCGAGGAGGTGCGCCGCGCCACGCCCGAGCCGCTGCCCTCGCCCAGCGACTGCTCCGTGTTGTCCGAGGAGGAGAGTTGCGCCTGCGAAGCGGCACCGCCTGCCACCAACTGTTGCTGCTGGGCCATCGAGACGCTGGCGGTGCTGCCGTTGATGCCATTAATCAATGCCACGGTGGTGTGATTCTGGCTGTTGCTGCCAGCACCACCGGCAGCTCCGCTGGCACCGCCGGCGCCGCCGTTGCCGCTGCCATTGTTGCTGCTGTTGCTGTTGTTGTGGCTGTTGCTGTTGTTGTTATTGTTGTTGTTGTTGTTGTTGGAATTGAGCGGCACCATAACGGTAATCATCTGATCCTGTATGCTGGACGGCTTGCGATTACTGTACTTGGGGCAGTTCGGGTGATGGCACTTGATGCGCGACGGCGAAAACGTCAGATTGTCCGCATTGGGCAGCAGACCCTCGCGCCGCTGTTGCCTCTGATACCTGGACGAGGGCGACGATGGGGGCCGAAGGAGGGCGCGGCAGCAGAGCGTGGCAGGTGTTAAGGGCAGAAGGGCAAACGATTAGTGTCTGTAGTCGAAAGTAAATTCATGCATAACATACAAACACACACGAACACACACACACACATCGACACAAACACACACACACACACACACGGACGTGTGGCTCAGGTGAGAACGTGTGCGAGTTCTGTTTTGAGGTTTTGGTTAACGTGCGTGTGACTCTCAGTGGCATCATTAGACATTGTCTAATTGTGTAGCAGTAAGTGAGTGTGTGTGTGTGTGTGTGTGTGTGTGCTTACTAATTAGACAACAATTACATAATTCAATCAAATGAACAACGCAAATAAGCAAAAACAACGACAACCACAACAAACGAGCGTCGAACAAGACGAATGCAAATGAAAATTAAAATATTTTATAGCGACAGAGAGAGAGAGAGACAGGAAGACAGAGAGACAGGAATAGAGAGAGAGAGAGAGACAGGTAGACGGGGTGGCTCATGTGCTGTAAACGTTTTAAAGCATTTCGCATAGCTGAAGTGCTTCTGGCCTCAAGCCAGCCGAGGCACTCGGGCATGACTTTCACTGAGTCAATCTTGTTTAACATTCAAAGCCGAATTGTTTCCAGACCTTGGGCAAACACTTGAGCAGCTGTTGGAAATTAATCAACTGTTTACCGAGTCCATATTAAGTGCGTTTTATTTTCACAATTTAATATTAATTATCGTTGATTAGTCAAATTAAAGTCGAGTGCACTGAAAGAACCTTAAAGCTTGATGCTTCTGCTCGACTGGCAAAAGTTTGGCATACTTTATTACACGGAAAGCTCTTGACTGTGAATCTGAGGTATTTGAAAGTTTTCATACTTTTTGAATCTCTTGAGCTTACAGATCGATTGAGAGGAAATCTCATGCATATTTCATACGATTGTTTCTGATTGCTATGCATGCGCTAGATGTTGTCTAGACTATGTACGCTTAAATCTGAATAGTTTTATATTGTGTTGCAATTAATACTAGCTGACTATACTAGCGTAGTCTATGATACTATCATTTGGCAGAGTCAGAGTCAGAGTTAGAGTCAGAATCTCAATCAGAGTCAAAGTCAGAGTCAGAGTCAGAGTCAGAATCTCAATCAGAGTCAGAGTCAGAGTCAGAGTCAGAGTCAGAGTCAGAGGCAGAATCCCAGAGATAGAGATAGAATCAGAGTCAGAGTCAGAATCAGAGTCAGAATCAGAGTCAGAATCAGAGTCAGAATCCCAGAGATAGAGATAGAATCAGAGTCAGAGTCAGAATCAGAGTCAGAGTCAGAGTCAGAGTTAAATCAGAGTCAGAGTCAGTAGAATCAGAGTCAGAGTCAGAGTCAGAGTCACAATCAGAATCAACAGTCAATACTTAAGGTGACTAACTCTACATGTTGTATTTGTTGTTCTCCTGTTATACGAGATACAACTACAACAGGAACAACGGTTGGGGAACAACACAGGCGACCAAATGCAAGTGCAAATAATTGAAAACCAAAGCCCATAAAAAATGCAAAACCCAAAAAGTTGACAACTGTAAACGAGAGAACTAAAGAGCAGAAAAAAGAATACACATAAATAACAGAAAACGAAACGAAGAGAACGTGCGCTGCAGGACGTGAGAAGCGGAACGCATGTTAAATGAATTTTTAATAAATCACAAACATATATATATATATATTTGGATATATAAATATATATATTTTAGCCAGAGCTGTGGAGGATCCGGGTCCGAGGCGCAAAGGAAAACGAACTCAAACCCAAGTATCGCAAATAAAATACAATAAAATCTAACGGCGTGTCGGGCAAGGGCAGGGGCAGGGCTCGGTCGGTCTGTCTCTCTGGGCGACGCTACTCTGCATGGGGTGTAAACTTCTGAGCTGAGAAAGTCAATTCGACATCAAATACAGTTAACTTGAAGTCTTAACTCCATTTGAGAACTTTCTCATGGAAGATACTTGGAATAGTCAAGTTTTCGGTCAATTGAAAAAATAAAAAAAAACTTGACTTGTGGTTGGGCAAGGACAAGTTTTTCGTATATTTTTTCAAAGGATATGCTATTTTCAATAACCTATTTAGCAAAGTTTATCTATCAGTTGCATAAAATGCTGCACATCTGAAAGACTGATAGAGCTGAGCTTAGGTGAGATAAGGCTGGACATGGTTAGAATGGGCTTGTGATTAGCAGAGCTAGAATATATTCCAAAGCGTAGGCAATGCAAGAAAAAGTTAGGATAGACTGTGGACTAGAACATGTTGATATGCGGGGATTAAGTAGGGATGGAGATAGGACGGAATTGAGCAAGGTTAGGTTGAAGAGTTCTGATAGAGTCAGATTAGGTTGGGTTGGTTATTGTAAGACTAGGACATGTTGATATGAAAGGGTTATATAAGGATAGAGCTGGGACAGAGTTGAGCTAGGTTAGGTTGGGGTTAGGTTAAACAAGTTTAGGTACAATTGGATTAGGTTAGTTTCGCTATTGTAAGCTGGGATGGACTGTGAACTAGGACATGTTGATATGAGAGGGTTGAGTAGGGATGGAGCTGGGACAGAGTTGTGTTAGGTTAGTTTGGGGTTAAATTAAACAAGGTTAGTTCTGGTAGAGTCAGATTAGGTTAGCTTGGCTGGTGTAAGCTGGGATAGACTATGGACTAGGACATGTTGATATCAGAGTGTTAAGTAGGGATGGAGCTGGGACAGAGTTGTGTTTGGTTAGTTTGGGGTTAGGATAAACAAGTTTAGGTACAGTCGGATTAGATTAGGCTGGTTATTGTACGCCTGCTTGTAGCCTATTTGAAGCGGAAGCAGAATGAAGCAAAGAGGATAAAACATAATTAAGCAAATGCGGCATAAAAGACAACTTGAGCATAAGCTCGTTAAAGCCTTAATAATACAATTCGATAATATCAAAGAGCATGTTCTATAAGAGGCCACGAAATGAACTTTGGAACTGTCGTTTCCGGCAGCCCAATCAAGCCGTTAAGATAGTGGGATTTGCGAAAATCTCAAGACTCTGGCAGAGGGGAACAAATTGTGAGCTCTGAGATAAGAGCTGAGTCAATCGAGGTGGAGATTAGCGCGAGGATTAGTCCTTCACTCTGGGTGGGTGTGCGGTGTGCGGAACTGTGAGAACTGTGAGAACTGTGCCTGACGGGGAGCCTGACCTGTTGCAGTTGTTGTCAAGCTAAGCAATTGTTAAGTTGATGATAAATATTTGATGGCATTTAGTATACAATGAGACGGCGTTGAGTGAGTGAGAAACGAGAACAGTGTGAAAGGTAAACAGGTGAACGCAAAACGTAATTGAATCAAACCAAAAAACGGACAAGCAGCATACTTATATAATCTGTACTTCTTTAACATTCGTCTCTTGAAGCGTCGCCACAGATGGGCTATGTATTTGACTATCTCGGCGTAGCACGTGGCCGGCTCCGAGTTGTTGGTGCTGCTCGCCAGCGTCGATGTGGACGTATAGCGGGCGCGCTCCTGCCGCATGCGCTCCATCTCGCGCTTCTTCGTCTCCGAGAACTGGGTGGCGATGACGACCAGGCACAGGTTGATCATGAAGAACGAGCCAATCTGCGAAGAAAGTGGAGAAAATCCGAATGGTTTTGTTAGAGCTCGAATCAAATCAAATTTCGCAACTTTTCACATTTTCACATGCCGCAGGCGACAAAACTAGTTTGCGCCACAAATTGAGGCAGCGTCGATAGCGACTGCCTGCAACAGGCAGCAGCTGCAGCAGAGGCAGCGGCAGAGGCAGCAGCAGGTCGGCAGGAGGCGGTACGAATTGTGGAACTTTTGATTTGTTGTTCGTTCAATGACTGCAAATTAGTTGAGCTGCCAATTTAGCTCACTGCCCGAGTGCTCCTTTCTTGCTCTCTCTCTCTCTCTCTAGCTCTCTCTCTCTCTCTCTCTCTTTCCATGGATAGCCATCCATTAGCTTGCTGTTGCATTTTAATAGCTTTCTGGCAAAACAAATTTGCCAACTTTAAATTGAAAACATATTTTTCTACAACAAAAGCAGCAACAAAGAAACGTCAACAAGTAGACAGACTGGCAAATACCCTGTAGTATCACTTGGATATGTGAATAAGTACAGAGTTTGTTACAGCTCATTGATTGATTGTCTAACTGATTGTACGACTGACTGATTGATTGACCAGCCCATTGATTGAGTCTTTCATTGTAGTTTATCTGATTGACTGACTGATTGATTGTCTAACTGATTGACTGATTGATTGTCTAACTGATTGAACGACTGACTGATTGATTAGCTAGCCTATTGATTGAATCTTTCATTGTAGTTTGTCTGATTGACTGACTGATTGATTGTCTATCTGATTGACTGTTACTGATTGATTGACTAGCTTATCGATTGAGTCTTTCATTGTAGTTTGTCTGATTGACTGACTGATTGATTGTAACGTGTCTGATTGATTGATTGATTGATTGTTTGTTTGCACTAACTGATTGACTGACTGAGTGGTTGATTGACTCTAGGATTACCTATCATCACTTATTTTGTAAGACTGACTAAATGATTGATTGATTGATCAACTGACTCGACTGACAGCATTTCTATAGAGAAAACTAAAAGCGGCAGAGTGACTTTTCTTTTCATCGAAGGCATTTCATTTCTAAATGGAATCAAGTGAGAGCTGATCCTCTGACTCACATCATCCGTATCAGATATCATCCATATCACAGCCAGCTCAGCCGCATTCAGATTGTCGAGGGTATGCCGAGCGAAATGTTTCTAATTTCTGAATTTGTGTGGCGCACGCTGCACAAAATGTTTCTCGAAAACGAGAAAAAGGAGCAACAACAACATAAATATGCAATTTCCTTGCTGGCAACAAGCAACTTTCAATAGCATAAAACATAAAGGAGGGTTGCCGCTCGCCGAGTGGATGGAAGCGGGCCATGGATGGGCAGGTGGATGGATATATGCCTTCCTATAGACTGCCAGCTATTTGCATATGAAAAGTTATTGCTGCTGCAGTTGCTGTTGCTGCTGTTGCTGTTGTTGCTGTTGCTGGTTGCCTGGGCAATAGCAAAAATCATTTTGCACATCAAATGAGCAACAAACAAAGCAGCTGAATCGAGCGAGATAGCGAAACAAGCTTTCAGCATAAGTGATGTGTGTGTGTTTGTGTTTGTGTGTGTGTTGGATTAAAAGGTTTTTAATTAGTACAAGGACATCTGATATTCACACACACACACACACGTACACCTGAAGATGCAACAAGAGCTTGCCACATGTGGTCAACTAGACAAACGCATGATGAATCCCCAGCTAACTGCACTTTTATTATTCTTTATTCAGACAGAGACAGAGAGATACAGAGAGAGAATGAGTGTGTTTGTGTGTGTGCAACACACATATTTACATATTCAAATTGCCTTAGCTTCATTGCTTTGTGCACTCATCTGAATTCGATTCAAAAATTTTTAAAATACAAATGGAAATCTTTCAGGCGGGGGGGAGGTAGGGGCACAACAAAGCCCAATCCTCAAAATACAATTAGGCAACTCATATGTCAATACCACTGACCTGAATTAATGGAATGCAAAGCTGTCGAAAAGAGTGACTCTGTTTACAGCTCAGCCCAATTACGAGTTTGAACAACAAATTGAATAAGCCAGGAGGACTCAGAGTCAAGCTCAACTGGCTCTTGACTTGGCCCATCAAATATTCCTTTGCACTTGACCTCGAATAGTTGCAGACTCCAAATCGTGTTTTCTATCTCTGCTTTGAGAAATATTTCTAATGAAATGCCATATAGATCAACTTGAGCTAAATAGTAAAGTTTTCATATAGAACTAGTTAGTTTTTTATAGCCTACTTAATGGCGCTTTCACCTCATGCTCGCTGACTGGCTTGACAGCCAAAGCATCTGTATGTCCACATAGCTATTCAATTGAACAAGTTTATGCTTATCCTCAGCTTGCAGCTTCAAGTTTCTTAATGCTCATTTAAGACCCACAAGCGAGACAGCCACATAAACGTTAAACGTTAATTATCAATCAGTCAAATAGCCAGGTCAAGCTTGGTTTATGGCCTGAACCCATTGAAATTGAGCCAACGGGTAGTATGTGGGCATGTGGGAAATGGCATGAAGCGTGAAGAATACAAATATATACTGTACATATAAATACTGAGTCGATCTAGTCTTGATATGAATCAATTAATCAGTTTGCTGTGGAGACATCATCTTCGGTTTATACTTCCCCATGCTGATCCCACTGACGAGGGTATTTGCTAGTCGAATACTCTATATATATTGAGTCTCATACACATATGCATCTATATACATCACATAGATACATAAATATCTCTGTGCGTCTGTGTTTGTATCTCACGCACTTACCACAATTAGCAGCACAAAGTAGATCCAGTCCCAGAAGCTGTGCGCGTCCTGCACGTAGTACATAATGTCCGTCCAGCCCTCCAGCGAGATGACCTGCAATGACAAGTGACAAACGTTAACAATGCGCCTGTTGTTGTTGCTTTTGTTTTTAGCGTAATTAGCAGCCGGCAGCGCGGCCAACAACAACAAAGGTCTGCTCTTCATTTTGTACCACGTCACGTATGCGTAATATTTCAGTATTGTTTTGCTTGCCGTGTGTGTGTGCGTATGTGTGTACGTGTGTATGTGTGTGTGTGTGGTTGGTTTTGTGTGTGTGTCGTCCTGCAACGCAGATGGTTTAATGCGTATTTGATTTGTGTTTAATTGCAAAGCATTTAAACCCTCTTTTGACCCCATTGAGAAGGAAGGCGGAGCGAAGACCCCTCCCCTTCCATTGCAAATATCAAAGTCACAAATCAAAACAGCTGCAATTGTATCTGTATCTGTATCTGTATCTGTATCTGTATCTGTATCTGTATCTGTAT